TTCAGTAAAATGTCATTTGGTAATCTGCTTTTTGATCTCCAAGCACCTGCAAGAAATTTCGTTCGGCTCATCGAAAAAAAAAACAATATGAAAATTGTTAATAAAAGTACGCTCTGGTCTTCAATCAAACCTGTATAAATGAAGAACTTCTGCCTAACTACACTAGTAAAATTATATGGAAATAAATATTACGATGTTTTCACCCCAACATATTTCAGTATCATTGGCGGGCCGGGCTATATCGGTGTTTGTGACGGTCGATATAGTAATAGGTATATAGCGGTTTCAGCGTTCACTGCATGGGCTATTAACCTGTCACAGATTCGTACCATCACAGAATTTTCACAGCATGTTAATGTCTCGAACACGCAACTCACTGTCCTAATTTTGATATACGCTTAGCCGCCCTGCTCCTCTGCCGCTCGTCGCCGATTTGACCATGCAGAACTGTAGCAGGTAGCCAAGATCGAATCCTCATCTTACTGCCCCAGTCACAGTATTCTGAACTGTAATTACTAGGCCAAATTGCCCTTGGATTTTGAAGAATTTGCATTAAGAAGGGGAAACAATGGTGAATATAAATAAAACCGATCTGAAATTAAATCATTTATATTACTACACTATCAATTTGTGCAATCTATTTTCACACCAGTATTGATCCTCTATGAGCCCCTTTTGAGAGGCCATTTGATCGAGACCCATTACTCACTCTTACACGAGGCCGTTTACACCAGTCCTATTAACTTCACGTGAGAAAAGAAGACCTCCACAAATGAGACACGATTATTTATGATGCGGCGTTTTGGGACATTGCTGGGAAATATGACTTCAGACGACCTAAGACCTCTGTCAAATAGGAACGATGCTGATCTGATGAAGTCGACGGCATACAGTAATGTCTTTCTCTTTATAATAATAATACTAATGGTTTCAGCGTTTAGTAGGCCGTAGGCCTGTCGCCGATTCTTTACATCGCAGAACATTCACAGCATTTTGCGGTCTCGAACTCGCAACTCACTGCTTCAATTTTGCTTTGCTTAACTGCCTGGCCTCCTCGCCGATTCTGACCAGAAACTGGCGCACAGAGCTGGGATCGAACCCGCGCTTCTCTGCGTCAATCATGGTACTCTGAACTCTAATCACTGGGCCACCCCGTCGCAAACTTCTCACAAGTTTGCGACGTAATTTCACGGCTGTTATTTACTTCTTACAATATTTACAGTGTCTGACGGCGGACTCTACCTACACCAGCATTTCAGCGGTCGAAATCTTTTATGTGCGATGCAGTGCGCTCTTATGGCCGTTGAGTTAGAGATAGGGTCGGGAATTATAATTTTTAGGTTCGAGGAAATTCTTCACGCTGCATACAAGGAAATTCGTGAATTCTGTTCAGATTGCTGACTAGTGTGCCACACTACTACGTATCAGACGAATTTTTTATACGGAACCGCCTATCCCTGAAGTGCGTTTTTTCGATGAATTAGAATCGAGGCGGACAAAGGCGCTAAAGATCAGCCCTCCCAACATCGATATTCGATGCAGTGAAACGACAGTTTCTTTTTACGAATTTGAGCTTAGTTCGAATCCTCTTAATTATTGTAGCCAGGAGAAAAATTTATTCCCTGAGGTTACGTTTATTTTCGCACAAAAACAACATTTAAAGCATTTTTTATTATTTTTTTCTGGTTTGTGATTCCCATGAAATCACAAACAAGGATTACTAAGTATTACGGATTCCTACCGAGCTCACGTCAGAGGTGACTAAAAACCTAACAAGAAATATTAATCTAATATTTACGAGAAAATTTCATCCCTTTACATCACCCCCCACGGCCCCACCAAGTGTAATTCATTGCATTTAACCATATACGTGCACGTGAAGGGTGATTCAGAACCTCACCTAACAGGAGAACCTTCATGAAATTTCTCTGCACATAAACAAGTCAGTACATAAAAAACTCCAGACAAGTCTCACAGGTTTCAGTAAGAAATTTTCATTCGCTATTTAAAACGCATCACATGTAGATTCTATAATCGAATTGACATTGAAACACGAACCTATTAAATTATTAAAACCATAACCATTATAATTTCTGGCGGTCTCACAGAGCCGATATTCCAAAACACTCCAAATTAAAAAACCGGGATCTGAACCGGGCCGCGTGATCTCGTCTTCACTCCTACTATCGAGCTCTCTGGCAACGATGTTACGACGTCCGATTCTTCGTCAACATCAGGCTCTACAGACGTACGCAGCCGTTCACATCTTCCATGCCATTCATTTATGGCATTCTTGCGATTTCGCACAACCTTGCGCACATGCTTAAAATGATGTGACATTGTGTTGGGCTGGCACCCGACCACATTTAATAAACCGACTCCTTCTCAGGGGTTTTCAAGGCCAGGGTAACAAGAGTTATGGTAATAGGATTAGAATGAAATTACCTAGGGCGGTTTGGTGTAATTAGTAGGTTATTGGCAATAAATTAAAAATTGTCAGTTTATTGTTAGTTGTCAGGAGCACGTGGTGATGACGAGGTGTCAGGAGCACGTGGTGATGACGAGGTGTCAGAGCACGTGGTGATGACGAGGTGTCAGGAGCACGTGGTGATGACGAGGTGTCAGGAGCACGTGGTGTCAGGAGCACGTGGTGATGACGAGGTGTCAGGAGCACGTGGTGATGACGAGGTGTCAGGAGCACGTGGTGATGACGGGACGTGCATGGCGTGGAGAGATGCACGTGGCGTTGCAAGAGGCACGTAGAGTTGAACGTGGTGTTGAGAGAGGCATCAGTCATTTTTCAATAAATGCAAACATATCGTTTTAAATGAATATACATTGGATACTCACACCTCAAGTGCTCGAGTTCGAAGAAACTATGAAGTCACTGCCGAGGATCGAACCCGTGCCCAGGATGCAGTCGGTTGCGCGAGTGCTGCTGTCAATAAATTGGACTACTGATCTTGATAATACCGAATTAGGTATTACTAAGACCGCTCATATTCATTAGTACAGGGTGCGCCACAGAAACTTACTTATTTGAAAGGTCAATAAAAACAAAAGTACTTCAGTTATTGTTTTAAATTTTTCTTATTCGAGAAAACAGGATCCCAATTTTTTTTCATACAGTTTTGAAAATTAAATCTCATAAATGACGGCCTCCATTGCGCATAAACTAATGAAGTCGCTTTTTTCATGATGGTTTCCACCCTGTATCTACTAATGAACACATTTGTAATGAAACAAAAAAAAAAAAAAAAAAACTCTAGCATTCAACACAGAAATTGTCTCATTATGTCTTTTTACCAGAGAGAAGAATTGCATATTAACTTTTATTTTTTAAGGCCATTTTTTAGTGGAATAGAAAATGTAATGAAATTGATATCATTATCGTGAGTGATCGAATGAAGTAAAGCGATATGTGAGGGAAAGCTCGCGAAATTTCAGATTTCCCGCTAAACTTACACGTCACGTCTTGCGCACCGGCAAACTTGCCGCACTGCTATCTCAGTCGTGGAGCAACGCTCTCTTGCTGCTCCTCGTTTGCCGTTTGCCTGGTTAGTTGGGTAGGACCATAGCTTATTATCTTCTGTGTTATATATTCCATTTACCGCGTTCTGTCAGTCTCCTAAATCTTGCTAAATTTTTAGGTAAATATTACGGGAGGGTTGCTCAAGTTATGGATGCGACTTTAATTGCCTGGCGTATTCCCACTTGCGGTTAGGTCTTGCCTTTATAGGCTTCTGAAATGTATTTGCGCGAGCAATATGTTGATTGCTAGTTGCCATGTTTCATGTTTTTTTGTTTGTTAATGGTGTCCGTGCCCCAACAGTCTGCTCGATTAAACGCCCTGGCGCTGCATCACCTACAGCCTGACATTGACCATGTCCCTTTTGTTTAAGGTACGCCGGTGGGCCTGCTTGGTGGCGCTGACCATGTTACCTCCGGAGCCCTTGTTTTTTCTCTTCGGGTCCGCTGGAGCTATAAAGTTCTACGCGGGCCAGCTTCGTCGCGTCAGCGTCCGTCCGCTCTGTTGAGCAGGCAAACCTCAAGTTGAGTTGGGCTCTACGTGTGTGCATTCAGTCCGTGGATGACCGGAGGATGAGATGACGTGAAGTCCAAACTTAGTTCTGTTAATTCCATTTCTGTTTCAGTGTGGATTTAGATTAAAGTAACGTGATAGGTAAGAACGCACTGTGCCATTCGCTGTACCCGCAACTATCAGTTCTTTAGGAATTTATTCCTTTACTTAGCAAAGTATTAAAACTTGTAGCCTTGTCCTTCCTTCCTGCAACGGTCTTGGAGGGCCTGCCCTGACAATTAAGCTTTAATTTAATAATTTAATTTAATTTTAATTTTTTAATAATAACTTTTAAGCTATTTTAATTAAATGCCTGAAGCTTTTACCCGTTCAGGAGGCCATTTTCAGTGGAATAGAAAATGTAATGAAATTGATATCATTATCGTGAGTGATCGAATGAAGTAAAGCGATATAACCAGAGAAATTATTAATATAATTGAAAAATCGTTGCTGTGGTTTTCAATGACCGAAAGATCACTTCAATTTATAGGCGCCGAAGGTGAGTACTAATTATTTAGATGGATAATGTTTCTACCGAAAAGAAAAGTGTTAATTGTTAGTAGCCTGAATGTCGTCGCAACGAACAATAGCAAAATTATTTATGTAATAAGGCAGAATCTTGTACCTGTCATTACTTCTGAATGCTTCTAATGAGCACCGATCATTAAACGACCTTCAAACAATATTTGATACCTGACAATAATATTCATGATATTGCAGCATTTAAGTTCAGTACAAATTTTCAGTTTATTTTTGGACTCAATAACAGTTAGCCAGAAGACAACTTATGACTTATTTATCAACTTATTACAATAATAGAAAATGATTAATTTGTCACAATAAATTTCGCCGTCTAACCTGTTAAATTTCACCTGCTCACACCGATTGTTCGTGCAGTGTTGCAATAGATCACATCGACATGATCGGCGCGGGCTCAGACACCGTGCATAGCATGCGCATGCTGAAGTGGGTGGCCTACCTGCTCGCCCGGTATCCAGAGTACGCAACGAGGATGCAGCAGCAAATAGACGCCGTCGTGCCCAGGGATCGCATGGTGCAAAGATGAGGCAGCAACTTCGTTCTAATATTTTTTCGTCTATTACTTCCGTACGAAGAATGGAAAGTGAGCCTATTACTTATATGCGTAGTATGAAAAGAAAGGATTTAAATGAGAGAGAATTATTGAATCGACCGCATCTGCCTAAAATTGAACATTTGAAAATATTCTGAATGCATTCCTTTAAAGATACTATGACGTTTTCTTTAAAGATACTATGAATTTTTGTGGAGTTTTCTTTGCTATTAAGTTTTTAGGAAACCATAGTTTAGTATCGCAGCTCTACAAAATTACACCAATTTGCAGGTGATATTTTACTGATATATTAGCGTTTTCCCTTTGTCCTACACCAATGTTTTTTTTACTAGCTCAAGGCTTGCCATATTTGGTAAATAAATTTGGTTTTTGTTGCCAGCGCAGTTTTCGCATGGCTCTGCATCATGTGTTGTCACGCAGATAGTCTATCAGCCAGTAAACACTTCACTGAATGAGACTGCATAAACAAGTTATCTGACCTACCTCATGAGTTCTACAATATTAGTTGTGTTTCGTTCAATTATAAGCTTACAGGATTTATCTCGACTTCTTCAAACCTGTGCACGATAAGAGGTTTATCTATACCCGAGAATAATTATGTCTAATGTCTCAAGTTCTGTTGATTTCTGTCTGGTAATTTTATCTGATTTTTACAAAATTGCAATGTTGCTTTGTTGTTTTGATATGAAATTTGTATTTCCATATAATTTTAAATAAGATGAGTGTTCGTTTATGTTACTTTGTTCAATAAGTATTATTTAAATAAAGTTCTTCCTCTGTGTCAGATACTTTATGAACGCACTGTAAGCCGTGGTTCGTTCAATTATAAACTCGCTCGTTTTATCTTGACTTCTGCAGACGCGCGCACGATAAAAGGTTTATCTAGACACCCGGGTACTTAATACTAATATGTCTCAGGTTCTGTACCCTAACGCAGCATTCGCTTAAGTAGAGTTGCACTGCAACAGGTGGCAACGTTCGTAACGTTGAACGTTACCGAACCTTCACACTAAAAAGCATTGTCACACGTTTCATGTTTGGTTTCTCTGTCTGATACTCCTCGCTTCGGTTGTTGCGAAAGAGTAGAAGTGCAGCATTAGTGGAATATTTACCGGCATTCCTGGAATGCGCAGAAACTATAAAAATTAAAAAGTTAGCGACCTTTGAACTCCTCTGACCATGCGTAATCAACAGGCCCATAAAAACGAGAAGAGAATGGCAATCAAAAAGCAATTATATACGTATCAGTAAAAGAAAACCTCTAAGACGTGCACATTTTTGTCCAGCACCAATCTTATAGGCATGCTTGAACTCGGGCTTCGAACACAATGAAAAATAAAAATACAGCATTCACGGATTATATATAACTTCACCGCATTGCAGAAAAATAGTTCTGTCATATGAGAATTGCAGTAGAATATCAAACTGATATGAAGTGCGTTTAAATGTTTGTGATTAGACCCACAAGTCATCGTAACGTAATTACGCTCACAACAGAACATGGATACATCGTTAAGTTATTCGTAAGACAGACTGTTGCAGGAAGAAGAGGAAAGCTGGAGGACTTTTATCTCGAGGCTATCCTTCTGATCTCGGGGCTCCTGGTATTTATTGAAAACGTTGTATAGTTTTATACTATAAATAATCACTTTCCTTAGAAAAGGTTCAATAAAAACATTTTCAGTTTTAGTCTTCACTTGATCAATTATATCGTTTCAACTTTCAAACGAGTGTAAACACTTTGCAATTAACGCGAATGATGAACCATAAATACCCTTTTTTAATGGAAATTTGTATATATTGGTATAAAATGATCATTTTATAAAAGTTCATAACAGCTTTATGCAAAAATTATTGTATATACATCCATGGTATTAGCTTAGTTGACCGCTTCTTGTTTATAGCTTGCAAACGAGTGCAAACACATTGCAATTAAGCAGAATAATGGTCTATAAATACAGATTTAATTTGGAGAAATCTTTGTACAATTTGTTTTCTGCGTAGACGCGCCTTTCCAGCAGTCACAAAATGAGCCAAGAAAACGGAAAAGCCAAATTTATCGTTTTAATGACCCAGACGCTCCCCTTAAACCGTGTTCGAGGCGTCACCGCGGGTAGCAACTCTGCCGCTGGCCTAGGGAGAAGAACGTTATACTTTATAAAGTTATTTGCTACTTGTTCACAGTCTCAATGAACTGCAGGTCTACAATAAGAAGTGTAACATTACCTAGTGATTATGATAAGAAAGAAGGCGGCAAATACATTTACTATATCTTTATTGAAGACGTTTCGGAAACCAGCTCCACTATCAGTTCAAGAATTTTACAGAATAATAGTACTATCAACAGTGAAAATCGGCTTATACACAAAAGAGATTAAAACCTAAGAACTAAGAAAACGATAACGGAACATAAAAACTAATCGGTTTACAATTTCAGGAGCATTAGAACGCGTTATTAAGACAAGGTTACGGATAAAAATATTCGGATTTAAAAATCCGAACCAGCTGAGGTGGGAGCGAGAAATCCCTCTCATACCATTCATGTAGCAACCTTCAGCGCGCGGCATCACAGCAAACTCTTAAAAAACATCGCGCCACAGCTCAATAATACGGTGAAAAATTTGTTTAACTGGTCATATAACGGCGATTTATTGCGCGAGCATGTGAAACTTGGACCAATCTGGCAATGAACAACGAGATGGTGTAATTTTACGGCCACTAAAGCGTCAGTCAGACCGTTTCTTGCCGTTTTTGTGAACAGTGCGACCACTTCAGCCGAGAATGGTTGAACTTGAAGGTTTGAATAAATGATTCTTAAATTGTTACTTCACATTTTGGCTGCAGATTCGTGTAATCTAAGTGGCGCATTGTTGTGATTGATGAATATTAATTTTCAAGTTTCATTGTAACTTTACTTACACCTGTAGTTTTTAATTAACTTATGTTGCTTTAAAATGAACGCGCGCACGCAGTAGAAAATGCCACTCAAAACACTTTAATCTCTTGAACAACTACACAACAACGGCCCAGATACATAATGTTAATGTAGAATAGGTTTTCCTTGATTTTCTTTATTAGGCCTATACTTCTATGTTGTTGTTTCCCATAATTACGTGTTTAATTTCCTTGCAAGTTTTGACTTTGTTCGTTTTAATAAGGTCAGTACGCATCACCGCTGCAAGATTGGATAAACGATATATTTTTTATTGATAATAATCTCTCAATTGCCTCTTTATCTCCACGGAGAATACCATATGGTCGAGCCGCCTATCAATGATGAGACATTATATGATACACTGCAGCCTTTAGTACACATTACACTGACTATATACTTTACAGTGTACAGCGTACTGCACAGTGTACTCCACCGGGCCACCCGCAAGATGGTGGAAATAAATAAAACTCGATGCAGGTCAAATAATACATGGTTCATAGCAGGCTGCTATATGAACTGTTGTAGCCTTCATGCATTAAGAAAAATTTATAGATCTTTGTGTTCGGTAATGAAACACTTTCTTACCCACAACACGAAAAGAAAGAGGATGTAGCGCTGATACATCCGCTTTCTTTTCGCCATTCGGATGTTTATCGCCATTCGGATGAAACCTCTCTTATTTCTCTCAGTGTCTTCCGAAGAACGCCGTTTGACTAAAGCGGAACACAGTGAGCAAATACGGCGTCAAACACACACTGTTTGATACCGTTTGACTAAAGCGGCGTTTTAGCGACCGGCTGCCCACTGAAATTTATTATTATTATTCTACGACGCATTTATCGTGGTGTCTGTTTCAAGCGAACTTCTCGTAATATGACAATTTCAATTCAAATTAATTATGAACGACTAATAAGTTGCAGCACTAAGTCAACTCACCGAAATATTTAGCCAGTAAGACAAGTACGAAGTGCAAGTGACAAACTAATTTCAGGTAAACTTTGGGCGGACAACTGAAGGTCTGAACTAAAGGAAACGTGATGCGTAGCTACGTGTTAAATTGCGCTTACAATTATATTATGATATTATCAATGATAAAATCAATATTTTGGAATGGAAAATTAGAGGAGTAAATCTCAAATCTAAAATATTCTGTCCATTCTATTCTACCTTATATCTCGATTAAAAATCACTTCTGAATCATCATATTAGTGAAACACTGATATCGCATGCTTGTTCTATTTTGAGCGTGTATAAGTTTCAACAGAATTTCCAATTTAGACTCACGTGGAGCCAAATTGTGAGTTTTAATATTTTTAGTAGATGATTAAATGAAACAAAATATTCTCTCAATATAAAGGTAATTATCCTTTACGAAAATGTGAATGGCCAAGTCGGGTTCGTAATTGACATTTATCGAACAGAACGCTTGTGTCCAGGCGGCCGAAACGTCGGTTATAATTCGCCTATAAGTACAAGTTACGAGACGACTTCTTATCAAACCGCTGCATTCGTTCATGAGATGTTCACATGAATGTTTGCTCTAGGAGACAGAGATATGAAGCCTCGATAATCAAGGTAGGCATCTATAAGTAAGGGCCGAAATGTGTTGAAATAGGAATGTTGCTATGGACATTTTGACATAAATGATACTCGTACTCAAGATTGCTTCCAAGTTTGCAATGGTACTTATAATATGTCACTTTTAAATTTTTTAACCATCAGTGTCACAACTCAAATTACCATTAATCATTGCACTTGGGTTTAATGGGGAATATTATATATTAATCAAACAACTTCTTGTTTTTTTCTATTTCATTATCTCACATGGACTACATTAGGCATATATAAACCAGTCCACGATGCCTGGGTGGATGAGAATCAATTTAAAATTGATTAAATGAACAATATATAAGCAACGACATTAGTCTGAATCATTCAGACACTCATTGGTATAAAATATATGATTTTTTTACCGTCCTCAATTTTTTCATACCAGATTAAATATTTTAAAATTCAATTTCTGGATCATGTTTCTGGAAATTTTATTGCTCGTCCTCCTGTTGGCGCTGCTAAGTTTTCTCAACAGGAAGCCTTCGTCAATGCCTCCAGGTGAGTAAAAACTATCTTAATTAGTTCAATATTTAAATGAGTTTTAAAAATTACTGACAACTGAGAGTAATAACTGCACATGAAACTTGCATCACTGCAACATAAAAATTTACTGTCTGAGAAACTCAGAAAATATTCGTACATGACAGACATAACATGTGGGTTCCACATTCACGATCGACGGCTGTAAGAACAAGGAATCGAGCTTCTAACTCCTACACTATAATATGACACGAATAAAATATAATGGCAAATCTCATCTTGGTGACTAATAGCAATTCTAATATGCACCATCAAATTTTAATTACTTTCTTGCAGTGACTAATGGCAATTCTAATATGCACCATCAAATTTTAATTACTGTCTTGCAGTGACTAATGGCAATTCTAATATGCACCATCAAATAGCGATTTGGCAACATCTTCACGTGAGTTACCGGCGATTTGGCAACATCTTCACGTGAGTTACCGGCGATATGGCAACATCTTCACGTGAGTTACCTGCTGTATGACAACATCGTCACGTGAGTTGTCTGCTGTATGTCAACATCGTCACGTGAGTTGCCAGCTGTATGGCAACGTCGTCACGTGAGTTGCCTGCTGTATGGCAACATCGTCACGTGAGTTGTCTGCTGTATGGCAACATCTTTACGTGAGTTGTCTGCTGTATGGCAACGTCGTCACGTGAGTTGCCAGCTGTATGGCAACATCGTCACGTGAGTTGCCTGCTGTATGATAACTTAGTCACGTAAGTTGCCAGCTGTATGGCAAAATCGTCACGTAAGTTGCCTGCTCTATGGCAAAATCTTAAAGTGATTGGCTCTCACTGCAGAACAAAGTGGGGCGCCCGCACGTTTGTCGTGTTCGCAGACTACGACCTCATCAAGAAAGCCTTCCAGCATCCAGACTTGCAGGGGCGGCCTGACTTTTTCTCCTTCAAACTCATGCAAAAATTTGGACGAAGAGGTTAACAAGTTTCTGTCTTGTGTTACTTTCATGTCTAAAGTACACACGGAATAGTTTTTACATAATAAGGATAATTTATACATAATAAATTTATTAGTGACCGCACGCAAGCCACACATCGGTTCCATGTAATAAAAGTAGCTTATTTGCGGCGTGATATTCACGGCCATTGCAGAAACAGAATTAAATTGTAAATAACATAATGATAATTTTATATTTTAAAAATTGATTAATGTCTATACTAAAGACAAATATCGATCCCAAATTAATGAAAGATATTTGTTTCAGGAGTGGGATTTACGGATGGGGCGGTGTGGTCCGAGAACAGACGCTTCGTGCTGCGGCAGCTCAGGTCCCTGGGAATGGGCAAGACCGTCCTGGAGGAGTCCATCCAGAAGGAGGCGTCGTTGCTGGTGGGGCACCTCGAGAGGACCTGCCTGGATAAGCCTGCCGTCATGGACTGCGCCATCAACACGTCTGTTGTTAACGTCATCTGGCAGATGTTCGCTAGTAAGAGCTGGTCTACTGACACCCACTGATTTATTTTTCGAAGTTTACTCAAATCGGTGAAGAATATCAAGAGACTTGTGTGTGGATAGACATTTCATAATTTTAATGATTCTAGTCACGCGTTTTGTAAGGGAAGGTCGAAAGTTTGAAATACATTTACGTCGGATAACGTAGGAATACTCCCGTTTAAGTAAAATACGTGAAAAATACATTTTCAATTATTTAAACCCCTCCATGTCTATCTGTCCCTCCCTGACGTATGGCGTCTTCGTTTTTGTAAAGAAATGCTGACATGGGCCACAAATTAATCTCTTCCTTCTCTTAGCTCCGGAACGAAAGTCTATAACCTGCGAGCTCAAACATCCTTCTAACGTACTCTGCATGTTGCGCTGGGCTGCTGTAAACTGGTCCAGCTCCTCACCAGAGTGGCGAACTATCGCCTACACTTTATATATATTTACCCAGCATTGCCTAACTTCCACACTTTACCTCTCTATCCCCTATCTCATCGAATGACTGAGTTCGCACAACTCGTGCAATTCAGAACTAATTTAATTCCATACTCGCTCATTATTAACAAATAAAGAATTAATTACTGTAACGGAAAATTTTACCTGTATGCTTTAGTTGCATGCATGCCAACGCCGCAACTATCAAGACCATGCGCCTGAATTATCGTGTCGTGCGTAGGTCGTGTGGTGCCGAGGCTCGTTGACGCAGTGGCCATGTTGTTGAAGGCCTCTGGTGTGAATAGTCTACACTCAAAACTATTGAGATACTTTATCCAAATGGCGATGCACTTCTTGCCCTTGTGTGCGCCATCTTGACCCAGTTTTTTCCAGCAAACGACGTATCAGTGATACATGCAGGATGTCTGTCAGTATTTGGACAATGTGACCCAATTATTTTCTAGGTGTACCTTTACTTGATGCTTCTTAGCTGTTTACCTGACAGACAACGGCTTCAGGTTTTGTGTCTTGTTGCTCAAGTGCATACTAATTTTTCCCTATAAAAGGTTAACAGCCTCAGGCTCAAAGTCTCTCAGAACCGCGCTCATCTCTACTTCACTAAAAGAACATGAAAGAAATTAAAGCAATGGCTCATAGGCAAATGTTTGTCAGTTTTCGTGTACCGCTGTAATGCATTCTACTGGACATATTCTTCGTAGATCGTCTTTTGTTTATGTATAATGTTTATTCAACTGCTCTTACTTTCAATATCAGAAGAATGAATACGAATTTAGCAGGCATTTTATAATGCTTAATATTTCCCGAGGTACTCGCTACGAAGTGGGGGACTCTGAAATCACAAAATACTGCGAGGATGTGAATGTCCTCTTTGACATTATTCAGAAAAGATTGTTCTTTCTGGACATCTTCCCTGTGTTGACGAATGTGTTGCCAAAATTCATACTGAACATGTTCGTGGATGTGAAACTCGCTGAAAGATGCCTTGAAAATTTGACTAAAATGTCGGAGGTAAGCTGCAAAGCATTGAATTACTGGAGTTATATGACGAACAAAATTTATTCATAAGCTGAATTGTAGATTATTATTAAGTGAATACTCAAAGATGCTACTGTTACCTGGGCGCTTGTAGATGATGAAATGCAGCAACATAAGCAGAATTGGCATCAGTTCTGTCGAGGCGACATATTCAGCTGTGAGGACCAATTATAATCAACACTAGCAATAAAAATCTATACCTGTTTTTCACCGAATTCAGTTCAGACTATGACCCTAACAGGACAAAATTCGAGAACACCTTGCCTCCCTGGACCCAGGCAACCCGCGCGACGTCATCGATCATTACCTGCTGGAAAAGCCTGACCGCGACCCCACTGGCTACCTTAAAGAATACGACGGTGCGTGGGTTTAGAGGTGATGATGGCTAATGATGTAAGATAATAGTTAACTTTGTTTTAAAAGTTGAATTATTCCTAAAACTTAGACGTGAAGTTGTATTGTTTGGTTGCAGCTGATCAGCTGTACGGCATGATGATCGAGAATTTCCTGGGGGGATCAGAGACGACGTCATCTACCCTGCGCTGGATGATCCTGCTCCTGAGCATCTATCCTGACGTGGGTGCCCCCTGTGACGTAGCTCTACCCCTCGTCACTGTGACGTAGCCCTACCCCTCGTCACTGTGACGTAGCTCTACCCCTCGTCATCACTGTGACGTAGCTCTACACCTCGTCACTGTGACGTAGCTCTACCCCTCGTCACTGTGACGTAGCCCTACCCCTCGTCACTGTGACGTAGCTCTACCCCTCGTCACTGTGACGTAGCTCTACCCCTCGTCATCACTGTGACGTAGCTCTACCCCTCGTCATCACTGTGACGTAGCTCTACCCCTCGTCATCACTGTGACGCAGCTCTACCCCTCGTCANTCGTCATCACTGTGAGGTAGCTTTACCTCTCGTCACTGTGACGTAGCTCTACCTCTCGTCATCACTGTGAGGTAGCTTTACCTCTCGTCACTGTGACGTAGCTCTACCTCTCGTCATCACTGTGAGGTAGCTTTACCTCTCGTCACTGTGACGTAGCTCTACCTCTCGTCATCACTGTGAGGTAGCTTTACCTCTCGTCACTGTGACGTAGCTCTACCTCTCGTCATCACTGTGAGGTAGCTTTACCTCTCGTCACTGTGACGTAGCTCTACGCTTTATTTATATTTCGTACGAATGTCCAACAGTTCAGTAAAAAACCTTTGGCAGTAAATTAATTACCGCATCACAGTTTATGTGTAATTTAATAATAGTTGTTTTCGTCACAGTTGAACAAATGTTAGTTTTTCTCGAATTTGTACAAAAATGAAAAACATAGTCAATTATGGGTTGGGTCTGTGACATATATCGATTTTTTCTGACATATATTTAACTCCACCAAAGTTGAAACTGAATTTTTTATTTTATTTATGCTGTAAAATTTAATAATATTTTTCTATATTATTACTTACTTTAAATTCTATTTCATTTCTTTATTTAGGTACAGGCAAAGGCACAGCGATGCCTGGACGAAGTCGTGCCTCTCACTCGCCTGCCTTGCCTAGCTGACAAATCACGGTTAGTTAATAAATCTTCTAGATTATAAGCTCAAATTATAAGCAAGAGTATTGCTACTGCTGATATGTTGCGCTCGAATACTGATAAGCAACACTCGTGTTTTATGACACTCATTATAGAATACTGAAAATATAACAGTAATTTGTATTCATTATGGAATATCATAAAATTACTATACAGTCAGCCATTTATTCTAAGATCATGAAAAGCTACCAAGCGATTCGTTGGAAAACTTGTTTACAAAAATTCTCAGATGACTTTTTCTATAAAATGCCTAGTGACATTTTATCAGGAGGCCTCGAAGTGAAGCATCAAGATTTTCATAATAAGTCCGACTTGTGTAGTGAGATTTCATGAAGAATTAGAAATGGTTAGAAAATTTTATATGGCTCCCAGAACAATAAGTGGTCCTGACACCAGAGCTTCACGCTGGTTAACATACATTAGCGGCTCTTTTCCTTTATTTCAAATATGAGCTACAAAGACTAAACAATGCTATTTTCGGCTAATTCTGACTAAGTAAGAGCAATAATGGATTAAAGTGCTATTTTCGACTCTTTTTATGATTGAATAAAAACGATTATGGGTTAGGGGAGCATGTCGTTCAAAAAATTTTTTTATTTACGGACGGATCATTATGAACTTGGTACACATATATAAAATAGAAATCAATGACTTTTTGTTCAAATAAATTTTCGGAAAATGAAAGAAAACGTGAAATTCATAGAATCGGAAAAGAGACCAAATGATCTCTAGATATTTTTCTTACGAATCGAATGGTATATCTGTCAATGCTGTAGCGTGAAAATCATAGGAGTGTTTAAAATCATAAGTGTTTAATTTGAAAATTCCAATTTTTCAGGAGAGACAAAAACTGAAATTTGTGATCATTGAAGGTTGAAGGTATAGGTTTTACTTGCGCTTTGACGTCTGTCGTGAACGAACAAATGAACGCACAGACATGACTTTGGTCTTGAAATGCGCAGTATTTGAATCTTTAAATGATGACACTAAAAACCTGAAAAGCCAAGTTTTCGATTTTTGTCCGACCCGCTCCCCGAAATCTATTATATGAATGATAAAAAGATAATGTGACCGCAGACTGGAGTACGTGGACGCGATGCTGCTAGACGTGCTGAGGCTGAGCTCTCTGGTGCCCACATCTCTCATCCATAGCGCCACCGCCGACGTCGTCTTCGAGGGCTACAATATTCCTAAAGTTATTAATGAGTCTTATAATGAGTTGTTAATGGGTCACAATAACAGCTACACTATTCTTTAAGTTTTTAATAAGTCGCAACAATAGCTAAATTTTTACTAAAGTTATATTAATCCTAAAGTTGCTAGTGAGTCACAATAATAGCAACATTAATCCTAAAGTTGCTAGTGAGTCACAATAACAGCTACACTAATCCTAAAGCTGCTTAAAGGCTTCAATAATATTTACTGTCAAATGATTTCTCCCCTCCGTTCATTCACGAGAAAATACATCAACTTGTTTATCAAACGGAAATTTCAGAGTGCACAGTTCCTGCTTGGAATTTGAACGAATTGAATTGAACTGAAACCTGAACGAAATGAATTGAAACCATAAGGAAGTGAATAAATTAGTTTGCAAAACTTACCTGCCAGGGCACCTGCCTGCTGGTGTGCAGTGAACTCTGCCAGAAGAAAAAGTCCTTCTGGCAGAAGCCCGACCACCTTTACCCTGAGCATTTCTTGGACGAAAATGGAAAGCTGGATGGCAAGAAAGAGAATTTCCTGCCTTTTTCAATTGGTACCTTAATGCTTCTATGTAATATTTGATTAATGCTTCTGTGAGGGTTGTAGAAATTGAAAATAGTTTTTTCGAGTTTACAGCGGGAGGTTTAATAGATCAGATCTGAAGTTGTATTCGGTTGAGTAAACGTGGTTTTTTTATTACCGAATACTTTATGCTCAGCTTTGTTTGTTATCATTACCCTATAGTTAATGCTAAATTTTTTCGTTATTACCCGCTACTAAAAAAAACTTCACAATAATAAATAATATCGCCATGACAGGACGGCGGCAGTGTCTGGGAGAGTCTCTGGCCCGCATGGAACTCTTCCTCTTCGCGACGGCCATCTTGCAGAGGTTCAAAATCGAGGCTCCAGAGGGCGTAACTCTCCAGCCAAAGACTGACCCTTTTTCGACCATATTAAACCTTCCGGATAAATTCGAAGTGGTTCTCCGGAAGAGAATTTAAACCGTGGGATTTATTGAAGACTGAACACTCCGAGTTTAAATTGGTTCTCTGAGGAAGGATCAAATGTTGCTAATATACTAAACCTTCCGGACAAAATTGAAGTGATGCTCAGGAAGAGGATTTAATCCGCCAATATTGTTAATCAACCTTCCATGTCTAAATTGGTTCTGTTAAAAGGAGTGTGAAGATCAATCGATCTAATAGACATATAGAAACCTATTGAGTTTTTTTCCAATGTTCAAATTGAAATTATTTATTATGTTCTTCTGGGAATTATTTTTGTAAAACCCTGTAGAGGATATAACTTCAATTGAAGCAAAATCTTTCATCGTATGTATACTTTTCAGTCCAACCTTCATATGTGTAACCTTCATTCCACATGTAGCCATGATGTAAAATGTGGCTGAATTACATGGTCGTAATCGAGGCTTATTCAATGAATCAAATAACAGTAAATCAACTTTCTATTATAAAAAAATAAACAGGAACGAGCGAATAATGAAAATGATATTTAAGACTAAATTTTTGAAGCCAAATTAAAAACCGTTTGTTCCCTGAAGCCGAAATTCCAATCAATCTTCGTCTTACCAAAACATTGCTTTATATTCAAGATGTGACAGTCGGGGCCTCTGTACGGTAACATTCTGACAACTAACTTTGCATGCCTTAATGCAGTCACGTATGAGGTAACGTAAGCCTAATTTAGGTAACGTATGAGGTAACGTTAGCACAAAATGACAGATATCCTACAGAGCAATAAAGCTATAAGTATTGCAGTAAATATCCTACAGAGCAATAAAGCTATATGTATTGCAGTAAATATCCTACAGAGCAATAAAGCGATATGTATTGCAGCAAATATCCTACAGAGCAATAAAGCAATACATGATGCAGTAAGTTTTCTATTATCACATCCGCCGTGAGCAAATATTTCACTTAATCATCTTGGGCTCTTCAATGGACGATCAAAGAGTTCATATTAAGCATGAATACTGAGTGATGAGATCGCGAGGAAAAATATTTTGAAATTTATTTCATTTCATTTATATTACATTGTCTAATATATTTAAAATTTTGCCCCAATTCACATCCTTCTTCCATAAATAAGGTGTACCATTGAAATATAATTAAAAGACCTATGAGTTACTTTTAAAATTTGAAGTTAACACGCTTATTTATGTATATATCTCGTCTCCTGGCACTTCTGAGCGTTGGCGTATAAAGGTCCGTTTACACTAGGGGCAACGACATGGGCGGTGAGGCGCTTGCTGCAGCGCCTCACCGCCCACAACCGTTCACACTTATTTTTGTACGCGGTAGCTCGAGACCGCGCGCTTTGAAGACTAGTTGCCAGTAGACGTCAGTGCGGATGGATCTATCCGAATTTGAGCTCTGGGCCATAGTTCTCGGGTGTGCTGCTGTTAAGAAAAGACGTAGGCGTCGCCTTACTTGGGTGAAGAAATAGTTGCAAAGAAGAGACACATGACGAGACAACACATCCATGACAGAAGACACAAAGAAGAGACAACACATCCATGACAGAAGACACAAAGAAGAGACAACACACCCATGCGACAACATTTCTTCTCGCTTCGAGTCACCGACATGTGGAACAGCGTCCCTGATAGCATCGTTGACGCTCCGAGTATGAACGCCTTCAAAAACAGACTAGACGAAGCTATGCAGGAGCATATGTTCAGTCTTAAAATGCCTAGCAAATTACGGACCAGGCAATAAGTCCAGCAGCTATCTCAATCAATCGTCAGTTATGGAAGGATCGGGTTCCAAAGGCCGGATCCCTTGTGAATCAAGTCACTAAAAGTTAAAGAATCGGCAACAGGCCATGGGACTATTTCTTCAGTGCCGACACTTCTATTCTATTCTAAGAGAAGAAAGAGGCTCGCCCGGTATCCAGAGTACGCAACGAGGATGCAGCAGCAAATAGACGCCGTCGTGCCCAGGGACCGCATGGTGCCAAGACATACCGCGGGACAGCACCTTCGTTCTAAAGTTTTCGTCTATTACTTCCGTGCATAGTATGAAAAGATAGGATTTTAGTGAGTGAGAATTGATGAATCGACTGCATCTGCCATAAATTTAACATTTGAAAACATTCTGAATGTAGTCCCGTTATGTGATGTTTGATCGTAGTCTCAAGGAAGCCGGTTAGGTTCATGTATATAAGTATCTTATAAATAGCGCTTTGTATCTTCGATATAAAAATGCTAGTATCGTGTGGCCAAAACATTCCCAATGCTAGTATTCCCTATAACATCGGGAGTAGTTGTATTAGTTCTAGTCGCAAGGATGTAATGTCATTGGAATTAAATAAAAATAGTGACAAAATAATGTTACAAATTAGTAGGTGTACTGTTTGCTTGAAACTTGGTCCGTTTGGAGCAGCCCGACGCTCTTTCTTCACTTTTCTTAAGTTAAAAAATACTACCAAACTAAAACTATATCGGTCACTGCCCAAAAGCTCTTGTGTGCTATTAGGGTTATAAGGAAACCATAGTTTAGTATCACAGCTCTACAAAATTACATCAATTTGCAGGCGATATTTTACTGATATCTTAGCGTGTTTCCCTTTGTCCTACACCAATCTTTTTTTACTAGCTCAAGGCTTGCAATATTTGGTAAATAAATTCGGCTGTTGTTGCCAGCGTAATTCTCGCATGACTCTGCATCATGTGTTGTCACGCAGATAGCCTATCAGCCAGTAAACACTCCACTGAATAAGACTGCATAAACAAGTTATCTGACCTACCTCATGAGTTCCACAATATTAGTTGTAGTTCGTTCAATTATGAGCTTATAGGATTTATCTCGACTTCTTCAAATTTGTGCACGATAAAAGGTTTATCTATACCCGAGAATAATCATTTTTAAGGTCACAAGTTCTGTTATTTTATATCTGTCAATTTCTTCTGACTTTTACAAAATTGCAATAATCAAGTCTACATTTAATGATATTGTTATTTTAATATTATATTTATATTTCCCATATAATTTTAAATTAGAATAGTGTTCGCTTATGTTATTTTGTTGAATAAACTTCAATTAAGAAAAGTTTTTCCTCTGTGTCAGATACTTTATGAACCCACTGTAAGTCGTGGTTCGTTCAATTATAAGCTCGCTGGCTTTATCTTGACTTCTGCAAATGTGTGCATGATAAAAGGTTTATCTAGACCTCAGATTGTTCATTGCTAATGTCTCAGGTTCTGTACCCTAACGCAGCATTCGCTTCTAGAGTTGCACTGAAACAGGTGGTAACGTTCGTAACGTTGTTCTCTCTCAGAAAATTGTGTCGAATTTTCAAGTGTTCGCATCATTTTTATGAATTTCCGAGCAATCTTACGGGTAATATGTTATGTCTAAACCCCATTTCTAATGAATACTCAAATCAGCACAGCAAAGTAGTCAAGAAATATTAGATAAGTAAATAATATCGACGCAATCGTTTTAGGGTGCAAGTAATGCTTTCTATAATTTCAAACGATATTTAACTTCTCGCTAATTTCTACCAAAACGACATATAGATATAATATTTGTTTAGATACAATTGTATTGAAGAATATTATATTTAACTGTGATATTGCAGGAGAAAAGTCAAGATGTTGGTGGAGATTGTGTTGTTGTTTGTGTTGGTGTTGGTGTACGCGGTGCTGAGGGACAGGCGCCCCCGCAACTGCCCCCCTGGTGAGTCTTAACGCGGAAATTCACTTCCTGTATGATGAATATTTATGAAACAACTACAATTTTATCAGAAAAATCTTACTTTATGTCTGCTGTTCGTCAAATTATTTATCATAATGGTCTGGTAAGTTCTTCGACTTCCTCATTTGCTAGAAATAAATGCAAGGAATTATTCATGTGCGCTAATAACCTTATGATATGTGAGGCCGATAACTACGACAGAAACTAATATTGCAGGTCCGGCGGAGATCCCATTTTTTGGACGATTTCCATTTTTCGATGAAGAAACGGGCGAAAATCTACGAAAAAACTACGGTGATATTGTCATGTTAGTATCAACAAACAACTTTTTACTTCAATTTTTTAATTCAATTTTTTTACTTCAATTTTTTACTTACTAGAATAATGATCATCATTAGGCATCATTATCATAGTGATTAAATTTACGCTAGTCATGTTACCGACTCATGAGTGAAGAATACAATATGTGTAGAATAAAGCACGAGTTTACAAACCACGTAAGATTGACGGTATGGTATTACTTGCGTAAAGCCTAATCAGGCCTAAATTCTCAAAGGCCCGTCGGTTTGTCTATCGAGCTGAATTAAACTTTTAATGATCAATGTAAGTGCAACTAAGAATGGAATACTTTTAATTTAGAGCTTTTTGAGATTATTTATACGGTTTTCTTGAAGTCTATTAATCAGCATTCCAGAATGTGAAAATTGATTTGCTGGATTCAATACTAGAAATATTAGTAGTATCTGCATCATAGAATAGAATAGAAGTGTCGGCATTGAAGAAATGGGCCGATGGCCTGTAGCCGATTCTTCTACTTTTCGTGACTTGATTCACAAGGGATCCGGCCTTTGGAACCCGATCTTTCCATAACTGACGATTGATTTAGATAGCTCCTGGACTTATTACCTGGTCCGTAAGTTGTTAGGCATTTTAAGACTGCACATATGCTCCTGCATAGCTTCGTCTAGTCTGTTCTTGAAGGCGCTCATACTCGGAGCGTCAACGATGCTATCAGGGAGGCTGTTCCACATGTCGGTGACTCGAAGCGAGAAGAAATGTTGTCGCATGGATGTGTTATAACGCAGTTTTTTAGTTTATGGCCGTGGCTCCTGGCGTTGGTTCTTGTTTCAAATTCTAGTAATCCTTCTGGGACCTTGTTCAAGCCATGAGTATACTTGTATGCTTCGACGAGGTCCCCACGCAGACGTCGATAACTGAGGCTTGGAAGCTTCATAATCTTTAATCTTCCCTCATGGGACTTGCCTTTCAAGCCCGGAATTATCCTTGTTGCACGTCTTTGAACACTCTCTATTAAATTTTTGTCCTTTTCAAGTTTCTGTTACCACACGACGTTTCCAAACTCTACCCAGTTCGAAATTCTCGCAGTCATTGCGGCCGTTCGCCGCAGAGACGTTCGCAAACGCGCAAATCTAGGCCGTTGTTGCCGACTTTACCTCGCGTCCAAGCAGTCTAGCGACGATATGGCCTCATCTGCAACGAATAGCGCGAGGCCTAGGTCGGCAAAAGCTGCGGCAGGCAACTGGTCGCTCCTCTACCGCGGCCTACGTCGAATATGCCGGCGGACGGCGGTACCCTTTCCAGGCCGAGAAGCGCTGCCACAATATTGCGCTGCTGTGGACATTCCTGCGCTGTTGATCTCCCTGGCGTTGCGCTGGGGCGAGCGTTGGCGCAGGCAAGTTCACCCGCGGCTGGCTTCCAGACTGCGGCGATTTCTGACTGGGTAGGTTCGGGCGCACGACAGCAACAAACAACTGCTTCATCGCTTCTGCATCTAGGAACTCGAAATAGCGTCTGATCAGTCCAAGTCGTTTATTGGCTTTATTAACTTGACCTTCAATATGCTTAGAAAATTTCAACTCATTGTCGATATTAACTCCTAAATCTTTTTCCATTGCCGACTTCGACATCATCACTCTGTCGTTGCATCCGTGTCTTCTCATACTGTAATCTTGCTGTTCATTATTCTTGCCAAGGTGGATTACTTTACATATGTCAGCGTTAAAACGCAGCTGCCACTTATCAGCACAGTCAACCAGCCTGTCAAGATCACCTTGCAACTGTACTTTTTGCGACGTATTCTTCACTGTATTACAAACTTTTGTGTCGTCAGCATACATCGAGCACACGCTAGACACAGCTTCTGGCAGATCGTTTATAAACGCAACGAATAAAACAGGCCCGAGAACGATTCCTTGTGGCACGCCGCTGCGCACTGGAGCCCAGTCTGATACAGACCCGTTAATACTGACACGTTGTCGTCTCCCTACTAGAAAATCTCTGATCCATTTGAGTACATTACTTTCAATTCCCAAAAACTTCACTTTGCGCAACAGCCGATCATGTGGAACACATTCAAATGACAGGGCAAAATCGAGGTACACTGCATCTACTGGCTCCCTTTCGTCCAGCAGGCGGGTCCATTCGTTCAGAGTAGACAAGAGGTTAGTGGTGCAGGATCTCCCGGCAATAAAGCCATGTTGAGAGTCAGATAGGAGATTATTAGCAGTCAAATGAACTATCAATCGATCCCTCACAACAGATTTCTCAATCATGTATTTCTCAACCTCGCAGGTGTCGCACTGGGACTATACGCTCGGTGTTCCTGTTCGACTCCGAAACAGCCAAGGAGGCCTTGGCACGACTGGAGTTCGCCGACCGCCCAGATTTCTTCACCACTTTCAGCTTGGACGATCAAAAACTCGGGGGAAAACACGATAGTTAACTTGACTCGCATATCTTCACTTATTACCTTTTTTTGGGTTCGTCTACTATATCTAAAATTTTAATTCACAACTTTCAATGGTCGGTTCTCTAAATGAGCACTCAGTAGCAGAGATCTTAGAGATGGACGGCTGTCATGCATCATACTTCAGCGCCGCTAAGTTGGGCAAGACTTGCGCCGGGCTCGATTTAAATATTATTTAATTTTATGTTATATTACTCATCACAAATAATTCATTTCATTATTGCTAAGATACTACAAGCGAAAATAACAATTAAAAGACTGCCTGCCATCGTTCGAATTGATGGGAATACATACTAGGCATTTTATTTGTGATTAAATTGAAAATTAATTCTCTGACTGCACAACGGGCTTCCATTTACTTCCACCAGGTGTTGTTAGCAGCAACGGTGTGCACTGGCAGCACGACCGCCGTTTTGTGCTACGCAACCTACGCAACCTTGGTAAAATTGAAAAAATTTATCATCTCACAAATTTAGAATCATGTACGAAAGAGATGATATTCAATTCATAGATAGAACTGCAATAATTAACTACAAACACTAATACAATTCTCATAATGAGCAATCACGTAGAATATAAATCCGGAACTCATTTGACACGGTTATCAGTAATACAAGGAGAAAGGGTGTAATTTTAACCAAGAAATCTCTTGCACTTTCACACACAAAGCTAATTTTTGGAAGATATTTGGTAAGTTTAAAAATTTTCTGCGTAGGACGAATTTGAGGTAGGCAGTTCGGTTGTTTCTTTCCCCACTTTCATTCCCTCTTACCTTCACAGTTGGAACAAAAAATCACTTGATCTGTAAGTACTGCTACATTCGTCTCGAACCTCAGACCTGCGTTTCTCTAATATCTGGTGTTTGGATATCAGTGAACAGTTTCAATTCTGCTAGCCATATGCTCTGCTGTGTCAACGTGCACAGATTCGGGATTTATTTTCAGTCAGTGAATTCACCAAACATTTTTCAGCTAAATTAATACGTCAAACCTTCTGGCCACAATTTACAATTCAATTGCGAGAATTTGAAATTGTATAGGTAGATGAAGTATAAAAGTAAAATTATATTTTTCCTTTTATGTGTGCTGGATGAAGTACAACAATTTTGTATTCAAATACATATTTATGGTCTACTCCACTACCAGGAATGGGTAAAGATCACCTAGAGGAAGCAATTAATATCGAAGGCAAAGCGTTGGTGGAAGACCTCAAGAAGTACGGCGGTGAAGCCATCAACTTCCCCGACAGCTTCAAGACTGTGGCGCTCAACATCATCTGGCAGATGGTTGCCAGTTAGTCTTTAATTTCTGTTCTAGTCAAAATCCATACAAACTTTTGTATGTTTCTTGGTATATGAAAAAATCAAATAACTTTTTCAGTTCGAAAAGTGAATGAGATGAGATGAAAACTATCCATCTCTCAAGGAAGAGTATCAAGTTCTGAATGCTTCTACCAAGTCGCAGGTCTGAGCTGAATTTATATTGATTTGGTGTCTTCTTCCAGGTACTCGGTACGATCTTCGCTCCAAAGAAGTTGAAACGATTCATCGCATGACCAATGAACTTCGTGAAAAATTTACGCCGTTGTCGGTATTACCCTCGTTCGTTCCGGCATTAGATCACCTGCCTAAATCCGTCAAGAATTTTCTGTTTGGCGATGATATTTTTGAACGCTTTGTGGAAGAAATGAAGGTTGTCGTGAACGTGAGTTGAATTTGCTGATAATAATCGATGATAGTCAAAGTGTATCACTTTCGTGCCTGATATTTTGATGACTTTTCCATGAACAATCGCTGAAATTTGTTTTTACACTTAAGCCCGAAGCGAATTAACCTAAACATGAAACATTGAACCTGAGAATCCAAGGCCTAAATATTTGCATACGTATTTGAGAACTATAACTCATTTTCAACTATGGCCAATTGAGGTTTTCCATGCCATGCAAAATAAATGGATCTTCTTTCCTCTAATAGGAAGCCGTAGACAAGCACCTGGAGGACTATGACTCCGACAACCCCCGGGACCTCATAGACGAGTACATCAAAGACATGAAGGCAAGCGAAGGCGACAACAATTCTCTTTACAGGAAGGGAGGTAAAGGATTTCAATTTGACCCGGATTTCCAATGTTAAGCAGGTATGCATGGTTGTTTTCTCTATTTCGCATTCGCATTGACAATCGTTATTGTTCAAAATGAACTCGAAAAGATCTGCGTAATTCGTGTTGGAGAAAACCATATCATTGAAATGTCGAGCTTGTTAACTTATTGGAATCAGTTACATCTCGATCTTGAGATCGTTTTTTACGAGGCCTATCATGCGTATTTACTCATTCCAGCTTTGAACCAAATCGTCAACGACCTCTTCGGTGCGGGCTCAGACACAGTGAGCCACATGTTGAGGTGGATGGCCTACCTGCTCGCCCGGTATCCAGAGTACGCAACGAGGATGCAGCAGCAAATAGACGCCGTCGTGCCCAGGGACCGTATGGTGTCGCTCGACGACAAACCGAGGTACTCATTTCATCTAGTTAATTCGTTTGGTGCTATTCTGCACTGCTGTCTAGGAGGGCTGGAGGACATCAGTTAAATTGAAGGTGCTGGAGACAAATTTTGTATATACTTTACGTTCACTAATAGTTAATTTACTCCAGGGTGTATCTCGCTAGCCACAGTCCAGGTTTTTTTAAAAGCTTCAAGTCAAATTGGTTGTTTCACATCTCAAAAAAATATTAATTCGCAACGAATAGATTATAAATAAAAATAAAACGTGGCTCACCGATGATAATCGGTGAACTTGGTGTATTATATGGGAGTGCCCCAATATCCATCGATGATTCGTCGATGATTTATAGGTTCCGCATTATCGACGGTGCGTTTCTAGCAAATCGCTTTTAAATCATCAATAACCGTTCGTCAAATCTGCGCATTTAATTGCGGGTTTTTGGGTTGAAAAAGAAACCATCATGATCCCATTGTTTCTTACACGATAACCATGGGATTATCGTGGAAGCACTAATCATTTAGATGAATAATGTATATGCCGAAGAGAAAAGTATTGTTAGGCCTATCCATTTTTGGGAAAATATCAATTTCCTGAATTTGACGCAAATTTTTCATGTACACCAATTTGTTGTGCTTGAAAAGTTGCGATCATTTGGGTTTCATTCATTATATCATTTGGCATAAATAAGGTGGAACATAGACCGGACACACCATCCATGCGCCATCGCTGCTGGACCTACTAGTTCCGCCAATAGCCACCAATAGTCATCGGTGCTTCACCAATAATATTCATTTTGTGCGACTCTCCATTGAATTGATTGATCCTTTTTTGATGAAAAAAATTTAAAAACTGAAAACTTGAATCGAGTCATATTCATACACAATCCAGTCATATTCACCTCACCTTGCGAAATGACACCTCATTTTCACATCTAGCCTGCCATTGGTAGAAGCATTCACCGTTGAAGCTTTGCGGTACTCGTCCATGGTGGTGTACAACGTTCAGAGGTCAGCTCATCGAGATACAACCATCAACGGCTACTTCATCCCCAAGGTTAGCCTTATAGTAGCCTAAGATAGACATTTATCTGAAAACATTAATTTATTATTTATATAGTTGTTTGTTTCGCAACAAATGCAATTTCTTGCAGTATTCCGTTGATCTTTGTGATAAATCTTCAATGTTAGGTTTGACTATTTCAGATCAGCCTCCTCACAAGGTTACACACGTCGTTGCAAAGTGTTACAGCTCTGTTGCTATAGTTCACAACATTTTCTACCTGCGGTTTAGAGTTCAGCATCACACTCTGAAGCTGTGTACCCAAATTAAAAAAATTGGTAACGCATAGGCTTCAGCCAATGAGCCGCTCCACTCGTCTTGGAGTTCATCTGTGCCTGCTTAGGCAAATGAAAGAAATCAGCTTCTATGTAGACAGAATGATTCTAGTCGATGTCACGATTTTGAAGCTGCTACATCAGCTTCTAGTGAAAAGAACGTGTGAATGAAAGCTCACAGTGCCCCTAATCTTATTGACTGCATTCACTGCAACACATTACAGAAGATACCGATTTTTTATATTGGATTTCAGGGCACTATGATTCAGGTCGGCAACTATTCTATTCACCGCAACCCGCGGTACTGGGACGACCCCCACAAGTTCTACCCTGAACGATTCCTGGACGACAGCGCCACCAAGTACACTGCTCCTAACATCGGCTTCTTCGCCTTCGGTTCAGGTGAGGATAGGTTAGCCTTCGACATGAGCAACATTTTACCGCCAAACTAATTTTATAATCCAGGTGTGTCCCTACTATAAAAATTCAGATTTGTTCACACTAGTGAGACGACGAATTCTACGTTTGATGATAGGGACAACTAGGCGCAAAAGATTTGTTTGAATTTGATTCCTTTGATTCAGCGATGAGATGACGCCTGCAAGTTTCATGCCAAAAACTGTCGACTTCACATTTTTACATTTTTGGGACCGATGAATTAGGTTTTCACGCAAGAAATTTTTTTCATTCTGCCACTCTGCAACTGAAATATTTCTATAAGTTTTCTATACGAAAACAACCTCCCGAAATTTCATTGATGTTCTCCGTGTGTTACTTTGGAAGTTTAAATAATGGAATTATTTAAACTAAGCAAAGTGCATTCGCCAGGTCGACGTCAGTGCGCTGGGGAGCTGCTGGCCCGCATGGAGTTGTTCCTCTTCACTGCCGCCATCATCCAGAACTTCGACGTCATTCCTCCAAAAGGCGTGGTCCTCAGCCAAAAAGACATAGTGAATTTGGGAGGTCTTCGCACGCCGGCAGACAAAAAGCTAATCTACAGACCAAGAAACTAACATTTACACAAACCTCTGCCCAAACCCACATTGTAGGGCACAGACATCGCGATAATGGAATCGGTCGAGAAAAAAATAAGCATTTGGGAAAAAAGTTGCCAAGGTATCGTCTTTGTATCAAGTTACACAATATAAAAACTATTGTCGCAAATTTAAAAAAACCTAAATTTTTCCCTCTCAAATGAATAAATTTAGAATATCGTATTGTAGAATATTTCTTTCAATACCACTCAATTATGCACCGTGAAGAGGCTCGTGGTAAGAGGCAATTAATACTAAGTGAAGGAAACGTTCCAATTCAGCAGCTTATTGAAATCTAAATAGAGCATAATTGGCGTAATGTTCAAACTGAAAAATGTGCTAAGAGCCACTTTAGGCTTGGCAATTTTTTTGGCTGGAGAGGCCTAGGTAGATGCTCAATTAGATTTGACGCATTATTATTATCAATTAGATTTAACAGGTTTTGCTTACTAATTAGATTTAACAGGTTATGATTAGTAATTAGATTTAACAATTTTTTGAGGTTTTTGCGTACAAGGTGCGCGTTTTAACTGTGAGGCGAGTTTGGGAGATAGTTTTAAAAAGAATATTAATTCTGTTGGTTACGGTCGTGCGGGCCAGAGTTCATTATGATATTGAACAGGAGAGAATACAGAGCCTCTGTACTTAACCCTAACTCATGTTTCTCCGTCAGTAATTATTGTCAAGTTTGATTACACAAAGATTAAGTTTTATGTGGTAGAATATTAATGTACTAGCAACATACGTTCATGACTTCATCGTGGCGCTGTCTATTAAACTGTGTCTTGACCTCAGGAGGCTTTTATTCCCGGGAACAATCAATGCAAACCTGGTGGACCCCGAACAATGGCCATTAGATTCCAATATCAACTTACCTTACCTATTTTCCTCTGTGAAAATACATAACGTAAATTTTTTAATAGTAGTATGACACGCAATTAAGCGTCTCACATCACCGGAAAAAATCCTAAATGTTGTTCGCATAACTTCTAATCCGAGGCGTAATACAAAAAAGTTAATACTTCTTTAATTCTAAATTTGGAAATAAAATGTTCAGTGACTCGTCGAAATCGGTAGAGAAGTTGATGAACGGTGGATTTGCATTTAGGTTTGGTATCGTTAAGTTCATGACAAACTCATGCGGTAATCTGACATAGAATTCAAGTTTGAGTTGCCGGGAACTAAAACATATCCAGTGGGAGCGTTTTTATTTACCTTATCTCTATTATTATTATGTAATATGTTATTCTCATTTGCTGTCTCAGCATATCCTAATTCTCAAAGTAGACTGAATCATCACTTATTGTAGTTAACTAGAAGTTTATTAAAATCCCTTCTTTTTAAAATTTCAATCCATTCCTTAAAAAATAATAATTTGAACCAAGCGACTCGGGCTGCAGATGCCTGTTGAGGAATCGTAACATCTGTTTCTACAATTAATTAGCAGAAAAAAATGAATAAATTTTCTAAATGACGCAATGGATTATGTGGAAACTCATGCTCGGGAAAGAACCATGAGATGAGAAATGGGAAAAATATTCGAGGAAAATTCAGCATTTTCATTGAATTCATTCGTCTGTGTATATACAGCAGCCTTTCATGTCATGCTTGTCATCATGACTGAACTATATAAGGTTGACCCACGAGGATTTCCGTCTTTCAGTTCAGCTTTCTTGTTACGTCACTGAGATCGAGAAACGTAAACAAACCCGTCATTCCCATGACGGATTGGTCGACTGGTTTGATCGCATTTTGGCGAATGGTTAATGCCTGTGACGTCACTGAGATCAGTGACGTCACAGGCAAACAACAAACTACATCCGCAAAAATGAGCTTCTCATGGGTCAACCTTATACTAGTTCAACCATGCTTGTCAAGTTGTCATCCTCAAGCGTTCGCTGTAGCCCCGAAGCCATGCAGTAATCCAACAGTGTACGTCATGCACTTCGTACGGAAGGATGTGTGGGGCTTCGCACACAAGATTTGTTGATGTGTCCCTATTAATACAAACTGTGCCGTGTTGCTGTTACCACTAATTCACTCGTACATCAAGCAGAACTGCTTTGACTTGGTAATAATGTGTTTTTATCAGGTACTTCGAATAAATGCTCATCGTGTAGTCAAGTTATTCATGTCCAGGACCGCAGTAGCAACTAATTGAAGTCGGGTCCGAGGGATGGGTCCCCTATTATGTAACATTATCAATAAACTTTTTGGTGCGTTGCTTGTGACATATTATGATAAATATAATGAATTCATGGCGTTCACGATATCATGTTGATGGTCGTCTAAGATGCGGCGGTAAGAATGCCATGACTTGGAGGAAAGGCAAAGAAGACAACGGCACCATCCGCGCGGCCTGTGAATTGCATGTGTATGAAATATTTTTTGCATTAATTTTTTCGATAATTAATTTACTTTAAAGTATATTTTAAAAAATATAAGCTCAAATATATCTCTCTAAGGGCATTGAAAATTTATTGAAATGAAGGCGCGCTAATGCGACAAATTGTCAACCCTAAATGCATAAAGAAATAATATGGTGATGAGCATGCATGAAAAAAAATGAAATAATGTAAGATGTGTATCCGCACATAATGCGGAAAAAGATATATGTAATCTGCTTCTCCTCCATATAGTTAAGCATGTTAGTCCAAAAGATATATGGTGTCTTTTTATATGGATATATGGTGTCATATATGGACTCACTGAGACGTGTTCTTGTGTCACAATTTTAAAGAGACGTTAAGTTATTTGATGGTGTTGATTGAATCTAAATTAATATCGATGAATAATATCGCTCTCCTCCTGATGGCTCAACATGCAAATAAACGAATGCCCGAGAAAATCTTGAGTAACTTCGATAGAGTGCACTTATAGCCTCAGTGCACGTGCTATCAATAGTTAAAAATCAGGAATTTATAGTTAATCTATTTTTATTGCAATCTATTAGAGAATCTTTTATTTTTTCATACATGTTCATGAATTTTACTCTAATTGTGCCGTGGTTCTTCATGTTAATTCTATGTGAAAGTTTTTCGGGAAATTTGCGATAGATGTCTTCATTCTTTATAAATGTTAAAGAGAGTCAGGCCTTATCATTAATTTCTATCTATTGAGTTCATTAGGGATCGTCCTTTTTTAAATTATGCTTAGATTTCCCAAATTTTATAATCATATTTTGTAAATTTTTCTATGCGGGGGAACCTGGATCGGATTTTTAAACGATTTTCAAAAATGTTCAGGTGATTTTACATCAATTAATTTTTTTGTACCATCATAACGCAGTTTACATCCATATTCCAAAATTTTTAGTAATCTGTAGTTTATTATACATACGTCTGGCTGAAATCGTGGAATTGCAGATTCTATAGAATCGGCAGCCAGTTTGCCGAATCTTTAGAATCAGCATTTCGTTACTGATTCATAAAATCGGATGTTAGCGTTAGAGTTAGAAAATAAATCGACAATTAGAGTTAAAAAAGGTTGGGTCATGTTCGGTCAAGTTCCTTTATATTTAAATATTAAAAAAGATCTTGCTGACTGACCTAACCACAGATTCCAATAGAATAAAAATGCTGGTTCTACAGATTCGGCAAACTAGCTGCCGATTCCATTCAATCGGCAATTCCGCAATTACGGCACGACACATTATAAATACCTACATTGACGCCCCCGTGATTTGTTTTCAATTACGCGATTTCTAGTGAAGTAAGGCAATCAAAGAAAATTTGAACAATATCTGTGAATCACCTGTCGCTTGGAACGGTTCATCTTCAAGCACACCCGCATATATAAATATAAGGCGCACATTTTACGATGTCATTTCATTCGACGTCTGGCATTCAAAATATATTGAGGCTATATCCCTACATGTCTCCAACATTCGTGGAGATATTGCCGGTGTCTACCGAGAAAATTCACGTTTGGACGGAAAAATGTCACGAGGAGTAATGCATGTGTAATATGCGCCTGAAATACTTGAAATTAATGGTAAACTGCTTCCCAGGTTAACATGAACTAAATGGTTATTCGGCTATATATTATCATAAGCTCGTAGAGCAACGGGGGTTGCTCAAAAATTTTTCTAAGATGTTTATGTAGCGGATGAAAGGTTCACCCGAAGTCGTGAATAGCAAAATCTAATAACGCAAGCTTTGTCGTCCTGTTTCGTTACGTTTTGGAAGTTCAAATGCATACCCTTACCCCTAGGGCCACACTGGCAGGAACCCTACGAAGTTTAAATGTAGCCTGTTGTCCTGTTACAGCAAGACAAGTTTTTGCTGCCACAAGTAGTGGAATCAAAAATTCGACTGGGAAGGAGCGATGCAATAAGGCAGAATATTGTAACGTGTCATTGCTTCTGAATGCATGTAATGATACTCGCTCATTAAACGACCTGCAAACAATATTTGATCATTGACAGTTATATTCATCATTTTCCTGAATTAAAGTTCAGTAAAAATCCTGTTTTATCGTTTAAATCGATAACTGTTTGCAAGAAGGCAAATTAGGTATGACTTTGAGTATCATTCAACTCATTACAGATAATAACGAGAACAAAATTAATTTTGTCACAATAAATTATGCCTACTAACCTGCTAAATTTCATCTCTTCACATCGATTTCTCGCGAAGTGCTGCAACAAATTACAATGACATGATCGGCGCGGGCTCGGACACGGTGAGCCACATGCTGAAGTGGATGGCCTTCCTGCTCGCCCGGTATCCAGAGTACGCAACGAGGATGCAGCAGCAAATAGACGCCGTCGTGCCCAGGGACCGCAGGGTGCCAAGATTAAAAGAAACTTATACATGTTTGGTGAATGGATGTTTACCGTGACACGAAAATACCATGAGGCAGCAACTTCGTTCTGATATTTTTCAGCGATTACGCATGTTTGTAGAATGAAAAGAGAGGATTTCAATGAGAGGAAATTTACGAATCGACCGCATCTGCCCAAAATTGAACATTTGAAAATATTCTGAATGCATTCCCGTTGTGTGATTTAGGATCGTCGTCCCTACAGAGCCGGTTTTGTTCATGTACTGTATATAAGTATTCTATTCATAGCGCTTTGGATCGTCGATATAAAAATGCTAGTATCGTGTAGCGAAAACATTCCAGATGTTAGTATTCTTACTAACACCGGGAGTAGTAGTATTAATATTTGCATCTAGCATATAATATTGTTTGAATTAAATAATAATTAATGACAAAATAATTTGATAAGTTATTAGGTGTACTGTTTGACTGAAACTTGGTTCGTACAGCAGCACAACGCTCTATCTTTACTTTTCTTAAGTTAAAAAATACTACCTAAACTAAAACTATATCTTAACCTGCCCAAAGGCTCTTGTGTATCATCAGTGTTGTACGGTACCGTAATTCAAGTATCACAGCTCTACAAAATTTGACCATTTTGCAGGTGATATTTTGCTGATACATTAGCGCTTCTCCCCTTCGTCCTACACCAATATTTTTTTCGTCAGTCATGACTGGCCATATTCGGTGGTTGTTGCCTGCGCAGTTCTCGCATGACTGCATCATGTGTTATCACGCAGATAGCCTATCAGGATGTAAACACTCCACTGAGTGAGACTGCATAAACAAGTTATCGGATCTCGTGAGTTCTGTCATATTAGTCGTAGTTCGTTCAATTATAATTTGCTCGATTTATCTTGACTTCTGCAAATGTGAGCATGATCACAGGTTTATCTAGACCCAAGACTAATGTCGCAGGTTCTGTACCCTATTTCAGTATTCACTTCTGAAGTTGCACTGCTAGCAGGTGGTGACGTTCGTAACGTTGCTCTGTTTCAGAAAATTGTGGTAAATTATATCCAGTTAAGCATTCGAATATTTGTACAGGATTGCGGTTAATCTTTTACGTCTAAATCCTGATTCTAAAGAACAGCAGTGCTAGATAATCAAGGAACATTTTGACAAGCAAATAAAATAATATCGTTATGGGGTATTAGTAATGAATTCTATATTTCATGTTATTATAACTTTTCGCTCCTTTTTACTAATGCGACATATAGATTTAATATTTGTTCAAATACAAGTAAATTGAAGAATACTAAATTTAACTGTAATATTGCAGGATATAAGTCAAGATGTGGCTGGAGATTGTGTTGTTGTTTGTGTTGGTGTTGGTGTACGCGGTGCTGAGGGACAGGCGCCCCCGCAACTGCCCGCCTGATGAGTCTTAACGCGGAAATTCACTTCGTGTTTGATGATTATGCTAAAGTAACTAAAAAATTATTAGAAGAACCTTACTTTATGTCTGCTGTTCGTCAAATTGTTTATCATAATGGTCTGGTAAGTTCTTCGACTTCCTCATTTGTTGGAAATGAATGCAAGGAATTATTCATGTGCGCTAAGAGCCTTATGATATGTGAGGCCGATAACTACGATAGAAACTAATATTGCAGGTCCGGCGGAAATCCCATTTTTTGGACGACTTCCATTTTTCGATGAAGAAACGGGCGAAAATCTACAAAAAAACTACGGCGATATTGTCATGTTAGTATTAGCAGACAATTTTTTATAGGTACTCTCATAATGATCATCATTAGGCATCATTATCATAGTGATTAAATTTGAGCCAGTAATGTTATCGACACATGAGTACTGAATAAAATACGTGTAGAATAAAGCATGAGTTTACAAACCACGTAAGATTGACGGCATTGCTCGTATAAAGCCTAAAAGGGCCGAAATTTTCAAAGGCTCATGTGTTTGCCTATCGAGCTAAATTAAACTTTTAATGATCAACGTAAGTGCAAATATGAATGGAGCACTTATAATTTAGAGCTTTTTTAGATTAATTCTATGGTTCTCATGAAGTCTATTAACCAGCATTCGAGAATGTGAAAACTGATATGCTGGATTCCATACTTCAAATGTTCGTCATATCTTCATCATGTATTTCTCAACCTGAACGAGACGCCGCGACAATCTCTTCGTGGAATAATAATAATATTAATAATAATAATAATAACCTCGCAGGCATCGCACTGGGATGATACGCTCGGTGTTCCTGTTCGATTCCGACACCGCCAAGGAGGCCTTGGCAAGGCTGGAGTTCGCCGACCGCCCAGATTTCTTTACCTCTTTCACTTTGGACGATCAAAAACTCGGAGGTGAACACGATACATAACTTAGTTCGCATAGCTTTATTTATTATTATATATTTTTTGTATTCGTCTACTATGTCAAAATTCTAATTCCCAACTTGTGGTGGTCGGTTCTCTAAATGAGCACTGAGTAGCAGAGACGTTAGAGATTGACGGCTGTCATGCATCCTTCAGCGCCAAATTGTATTGGGCAAGACCAGCGCCGGGTTCGATTTCAATATTACTTAATTTTATGTTATATTTTCATCACAAATGTTTAATTCCATTTATTTTTTTAAGATATTGCACGTAAGTCAAATAACAATTGAAAGTCTGTCTGCCGTCATTCGAATCGATGAGAATGCATGCTAGACATTTTATTTATCATTAAATTTAAAATTAGTCAATTTATCACAACGCGCTTCCATTTACTTCCACCAGGAGTTGTTAGCAGCAACGGTGTGCACTGGCAGCACGACCGCCGTTTTGTGCTACGCAACCTACGCAACCTTGGTAAAATTGACAAGATTTATCATCGCACAAATTCAGAATACTGTACGAAATAGATGAAATTTAATTCATGAATAGAACCGCAATAATTCACTACAAACAGCAATTCAATTCTCATAATGAACTACCATATAGAATCTTAATTCGGATCTCATTTGACACGTTATCAATAATACAAGAATAAAGGGTGTAAATTTAATGAAAAAATCACTTGCACTTTCACACATTCATGGAGATAAATTTTGAAAGATATTTGGTAAGCGGATAATTTTTCTGCACGGGACGAATTTGAAGTAGGCTCGTTAGATTGCAGTTCGGTTGTCCAATTTCTCATTTTCATTCAATCTTACCTTCCCAGTCGGAGCAAAGAATAACTTTTATCATAAGTACTACTCATTTGTCTTGAACTTTCTCGGACCTTCGTTTTCTCTAATATTTGGTGTTGTTGTCAGTGAAAAGTTCCAATTCTGCTACACATGTGCTTTGCTGCTTCAACTTTGCTGCTTCAAGATTCAGGATTTATTTTCATGAGTGATATCATCAAAAATTTTTTAAATAACCCAATACGACAAACCTGCTGGGCACAATTTACAATTCAATGCCGAAAATTTCCTTATTGTATAGATCGATGAAGGATAAAGTTGAAGTTATATTTTTTCTTTTATGCGTGCTGGCATGAGTGAAAAATTTTTATTCTTAAATTCAAATACGTATTTATGGTTTACTCTTTTTTCAGGAATTGGTAAAGATCACCTAGAAGAAGCAATTAATATCGAAGGCAAAGCGCTGGTGGAAGACCTCAAGAAGTACGGCGGTGAAGCCATCAACTACCCCGACAGCTTCAGGACTGTGGCGCTCAACATCATCTGGCAGATGGTGGCCAGTGAGTCTTCTTTTTCGGTTCTATTCGAAAATTGACCCAAACTTTTGGCAGATTCCTGGCACATGAAAGAAGTAAATAAATTTTCAATTCGAAAAGTGAATGACATGATGTCAAAACTATCCATCTCTTAATGAGAGTATCATATTCTGACTGCTTCTACCTAGTCGCAGGTCTGAGCTGAATTCACATCCATTTGGTGCCATCTTCCAGGTACTCGGTACGATCTTCGCTCCAAAGAAATTGAATCGATTTTTCGCACCAATAATGAACTTCGTGAAAAATTTAACCCAGTGACATTATTACCCTCGTTCATTCCGGCATTAGATAATCTACCTAAATCCGTCAAGAATTTTCTGTTTGGCGACGATATTTTTGATCGCTTCGTGGAAGAAATGAAGAATGTCGTGAACGTGAGTTGATTTTGCTGCCAATAATTGATGACAGTTCAAAGACCATCACTTTCGTGTAATAACGACTTTTCTTGTGACGATCTCCGAAATATTTTCATGACGACTTTTCTTTGGACGATCGCTGAATTTATTTTTACACTTAAGCCCAAAGTGAAATAACCTAAACATGAAGCATTGAACCTACCCAAATAAAAATTAAGGGTGGTGCACCGATGATTATAGGTGGCGATAGTAGTTTATAGGTGGCGTAACTGTGAGTGGCCAGATTTGCCAAAAATCGACAATAAAACATCAATAAATCGAAAGGGTGGCGAGTAAAGGTGGCAGTCATCTATGAATCATCGCTGATTTGTAAGGTCTGAATAATCGATAGCACATTGCAGGCAAATCTCTTTTAAGCCACTGAAAACCGTTTGCCTACACAATGCACGAAGGTATTTGCCACAGTAATTTATCCAACGTAGAAAGGGGTTATTGGATTGCGGGTCATTCGAGATCAAGACGAAACCATGACTTCGTTTTGTGTGCTTGGCTTTTAAGANTTAATAGTAGTATGACACGCAATTAAGCGTCTCACATAACCGGAAAAAATCCTAAATGTTGTTCGCATAACTTCTAATCCGAGGCGTAATACAAAAAGTTAATACTTCTTAAATTGTATCTTTGGAAATAAAAGGCCAGTAACTCGCAGAAATCTGAAGGGAAGTTGATGAATGGTAGATGTTTATTTAAGTTTTGTATTGTTCAGTTTATGACCACCATCTGAGGCAATCTAACATAGAATTCAAATCTGAGTTGCTGGTACTATAACATATCATTGGGAGCAGATGGTTAGACAGCGTTATTAATTACCTTGTATCTGTTATGTTTATTTATTATGTTATTATCATTTGTGGGTTCAGCTTGTCATTATTCTCAAAGTAAACCTGACTGATCACTTATCGTAGTTGGCCAGAAGTTTATTAAATCCCTTTTCTTTCTAAATTTTCAATTCGTTCCCTAAAATATAATAATTTCAACCAAGTAGATCGGGCAGCAGATGTCATTTGAGGTTCCACAAATAATTTTTATATGACAACTCTACGTCCGGTCGTTGGCGATTCAGTCATCAGTGTGCTACGTGCACTTCTTGAAAGATTTTTTGTTGAAATTAGCCCCTCGTGTTATATCTTTTTGAAGTGCGTACACCGCGCAGAGTTGTCGAAGACTGCGGTGTGTCATTGTGGCCTTGAATTACACTGAACTGCAATTTGCATAGCTTTGCTTATCATGCAATGTGCAGCATCTGAGAATAGTCATAAATGACATGTACGATGCTAAATTGTCAATTTGAAATTATTTGTCTTGAAAAGTAATCACCGGTTTAATTTTCCCGACTGCAAGTTGTGTAATTTATGAACCGCATCAAAAATCACATTGCATTCTGAGAGCTTATTGTTGTTTATTCACAAACAGTAGCATTTATTGTAGTAGAATATATATATATATATATATAATATATATTCTAACACAAAAGAAACACAAAATAAAGAAAGAAACATAAAATAAAATAGCAAAGCTTCCGAGTGAAGCTGAAAATAAAGCTCATAAGCCAAAAAAAGCTTCGCTGACTACAAGGTGGTCTTTAATCCCATTCAAGTGATAATACCATATTGATAAGAACTATAGAAAGCTTCACAAAATAAACATTCATTACAAAAATCTCGAGAACACTTATAATAGTTTGTCACAACATTACACTGAAAATTAGATGTAATTAAAAACACCACGTAAAATTACTCTAATCTTACATGTTAATCGAAGTCAAATTAATATTAGGTAAGAATAAAGTCGCGAGATTTAGAATTTAAAAGGAATTTGGAATAACCTAGTTTGAAATCATCAGGCAATTCATTATATTTTAAACAATTAAAAACTGTACCGTTTTTTCCATTTCTAACCGAAGCGGAGGTAAGTTAAAGCGTGTGCCCCTAGTGATATGGGAATGTTTAGGAACGAAAGAGGCGAACGCTTGTTTCAAAAAGCGACGGTCATGCTGCCAACCAAGCCTGACGTGAGCTCATGCTGCCACTGTGTGCCATTGCTGCCAACCAAGCCTGACGTGAGCTCATGCTGCCACTGTGCGCCATTGCTGCCAACCAAGCCTGACGTGAGCTCATGCTGCCACTGTGCGCCATTGCTGCCAACCAAGCCTGACGTGAGCTCATGCTGCCACTGTGCGCCATTGCTGCCAACCAAGCCTGACGTGAGCTCATGCTGCCACTGTGCGCCATTGCTGCCAACCAAGCCTGACGTGAGCTCATGCTGCCACTGTGCGCCATTGCTGCCAACCAAGCCTGACGTGAGCTCATGCTGCCACTGTGCGCCATTGCTGCCAACCAAGCCTGACGTGAGCTCATGCTGCCACTGTGCGCCATTGCTGCCAACCAAGCCTGACGTGAGCTCATGCTGCCACTGTGCGCCATTGCTGCCAACCAAGCCTGACGTGAGCTCATGCTGCCACTGTGCGCCATTGCTGCCAACCAAGCCTGACGTGAGCTCATGCTGCCACTGTGCGCCATTGCTGCCAACCAAGCCTGACGTTGTTGCCGGAAGGCATCTGACCTTTTATCACTCAACCAGTCTGTGTTTTAACTCATTATTTTTCAGTAACGTTTAACTCAATTTGATTATTTCCATTTTAGTTCAGAGTGATTTATTTGCACAACTAACGACAGTCGCGTCCAATTCAGTTCCGCCATTTAGTAACTAGCAGCCACTGGCATTCCGTGTATTGTGCTAGCCTGGAAGTGAAAGCCTTGGTAAGTCTGCTCTCCAATAGTCGGAACAATATTTTGTTACTTCGGTTGTCATTTATCAGATCAATAGTAATTTCTGTGTAACTGTTAGTGTCCTTGCTCATTATGCACTTCACTGCTGTTAATGTTTCTGTGATTATGCTTGTGGTGTGAATTAATTGATTGAATTGATTAATTTTCTTGTGTGAATTAATTGATTATTTCTTGGCTGACGGTCACTGTTTTAAATGCATAATAAATAGTATTTTAGATTAAATTCTGGCATTGGTTAAGATATTGAATTATATTGTTTGTGAATTCACTATTTAGCACTAGGGTTATTTATCTTCCATTTATTTTTCTTGCAGTGTCACTGTCACTCTAGTGTCTAGTCCTACCCTGTGCTCCCTATAAACTAAGGTTTTGGCCTAGAACAGCCAACAGTGCTCATAACCTTTATCAGTGTAACTGCCAGTTAAAGCCCACTGATCAATGTCACATTCTTCACTTGTTTCATTTGTTTTGATGTACTATCCCTAAATATAATTTTAATAGAAAATTCTTTCATTTAAAGTTTAAACAAGATTAATAGCTTCCACTGTTTAACTCTTAAGTGGACAACGGGTTTGTCCCACCCGCTAGCACGGTAACAACGTGAGCTCATGCTGCCACTGTGCGCCATTGCTGCCAACCCAGCCTGACGTGAGCTCATGCTGCCACTGTGCGCCATTGCTGCCAACCAAGCCTGACAGAGATGATACGAATGCTAGCGGCACAGCAATGTTTGAAGTGAATGTTTCCTTGATTATCATTCCAATGAAGTTGATGTGTATCTTCCATTCAAGCTACACTCAGATTTGAAAGTAGATGGACATTTTTGTAGGTGAGAAAAAAATAAATTATATGAATTTTATATATTTTATATTTTATCGATCATTTGCCTGTTGATAATCTACTATCAGATTGTCAACATGGCTTTATTGCCGGTAGATCCTGCAAAACTAACCTCTTGTCTACTCTGAATGAATGGACCCGGCTGCTGGACGAAAGAAAGCCATGGAGTGGATGCAGTGTGCCTCGATTTTGCCATGGCATTTGACAGTGCCCCACATGAGCGGCTGTTGCGTTAATGAAGTCTTTGCGAATTGAGAGTAATGTACTCAAATGGATCAGAGATTTTCTAGTAGGGAGACGAAAACTTGTTTGTATTAATGGGACCGTATCAGACTGGGCATCAATGCGCAGTGGCGTGCCCATGGAAACGTTGTTGGGCCTATTTTGTTCGTTGCTTTTATAAATGATCTGCCAGAAGCTGTGTCTAGCGTGTCTAGCAAAAACTCGATGTATGCTGATGACTCAAATGTTTATAATACAGTGAAGAATACGTCGCAAAAAGTACAGCTGCAAGGTGATATTGACAGGTTAGTTTACTGGCTGATACGTAGCAGCTGCGTTTTAATGCTGACAAGTGTAAAGCCATCCACCTTGGCAGGAACAATGAACAGCAACATTACAGTATGAGAAGACATGATAGCAACTAGAGAGTAATGATGTCGAAGTTGAGAATGGAAAAAGATTCAAGAGTTTATGTCGACAATGAGTTGAAATTTTCTAAGCAAATTGAAGCTCAATTTAAAATAGTCAATAAATGATCAGACGCTCTTTCGAGTTCCTAGATGCAGAAGCGATGAAGCAGTTGTTTGTCGAAGTCGTGCGTCCAAACCTAGAATTTGGAAATGCCGTGTGGTCACCAAAACTAGAAAAGGACAAAAATTTAGTCAAGAGTGTTCAAAAACGTGCAACAAGGATAATTCCGGGATTAAAAGGCAAGAATTTTTAAGAAAGATTAAAAATTATGAAGCTTCCAACCCTCTGTTATCGACGTCGGTGACATCATTGAAGTATATGAGATGCCCACGCTTTATACAATGTTTCAGTAGGAGTCGTAGATATTGAAAAAAGAACCAACACCAGGGGCCACGGCTATAAACTAAAAGAACTGCGTTGTAACACATCCATGCAACAACATTTCTTCTCGCTTCGAGTCACCGACATGTGGAACAGCCTCCCTGATAGCATCGTTGACGCTCCGAGTATGAACATCTTCAATAACCTTTGAAACGACTCTCACGGACCGGGCAATAAGTCCAGCGGCTATCCAAACAATCGTCAGTTATGGAAGGATCGGGTTCAAAAGGCCGGATCTCTTGCGATTCAAGTCACGAACAGTACAAAAATCGGCAACAGGCCATTGGGCTTTTTTCTTCAATTAGTGCCGAAACTTTTTTTCAATTCTATATGACTATGCCACGAATAATTTCAAATAGAGATTTTTGGTTTTAATTTGGAATAGGTAAAGACAAATGGCCACAAAAATCAATGTGCCAATCTGAATTACATGTTAAAAACATTAGAAGCATCCTCATTTCTTTTGGTCCGACTACTATAGAGTAAAAGCTTTCTTGTGTCCTCAAACTCATTTATGAGTCGTCTGTCGTTGAGTTCTGTTCTGACCGTTGAGGCAAGAGGTTCCTTGTGCTGAGCTCCCGTGACAGTAGCCGGCTTCGGCCAGCTGCTACGTCATCTTTCTAGAACTATCTTTCTCGAACTTTGAAAATGCCGTACTGTCCCGCTCCGAGGCGTTGAGCCGGCGAATGGTACGACCAGCTAAAGTGAAGTTTAACTCCTGAAGTTCTGAACACCTATAAATGCTCCCGGCGTTTAACTGCCAAATTTCGTTACAAAGACTTTAAGATGCCCCCATGTGTGCCGTGTGGTTAGTACCTTCGGGTTCGTGGTTAGTGCCCCCAGGTGAGTGGTTAGTGATGGAGTGGGGCTATCTGCCCTGGAGTGGGGCTATCTGCCCTGGAGTGGGGCTATCTACGCTGGAGTGGGGCTATCTGCGCTGGAGTGGGGCTATCTGCCCTGGAGTGGGGCTATCTGCCCTGGAGTGGTGCTATCTGCCCTGGAGTGGGGCCGTCTGCCCTGG